CTCTCTCTCTCTCAACTCCCCTGTCTGCTGAATGCTCTGTCTCTCTCCCCCTGTCCTCCTACTTTTCTTTCTCTGCCGCCCCCTCTCCCTCACTCTCCGAGCGCGCACACACACACGAAGACATGCACTCACATCATAGGCCAACGTGCAGACACACACACGCACACACGCACACACACACTTAGCTCCTAACATGAGACAGTCGAGCAGTCTTGTCTAAGTCTCAATTTCTGCTAGTTAATTGTATCTGGCCGGTCAAGGATTTCAACCCAAGATGAAAATGATAATACAAACAAGATTAAACTAAAATGTAATAGTTTGTTAAAGGTGATTCTGCTTATAAAACTGTAAGGTCGAAATTGGCCCACCCCCTGTTGAAGTTGCCCTGTTTCACCCTGTCGAATTTGCACCTACCACCAGAATCTCACCCCATCATTTTAACACTTTTCCTACCACGAGCCGCATTTTGCTGCTCAGGGAAGTGGCCTCGATGGACCGAGAACCGCAAATTACGGCTCGAGTGGCTCGCTATCTATCCCAATCCAGTAATGAAAAGACACCAAATTCTCGGTCAGTGATCATGTTTTCAAAATAATAGAATAGACTTCCTGTTAGCAGATATGAAACAACACATAGCACCAACAGACGATATTGAGTCATTTCGGCGCTTCTTTCTGTCCCCTTCAACACCCCGTAAAAATGGGAAAAAAAGAGCTCCCCTGACTTCAGTATGAGAATGTGTCTCATATTTTCACTTCTATAATAGGTACACATACATAACTTTCAGCATTTCATTGCATTACTTGAGGCAATCTACCTGGGAAGTTTTAATGATGCTGTCGTTGAACTTTTTTAGTTTTATATGACCTTTCAAAGCTGGAAAATTGTTGATTTCATATATGACTATGACACCTTCCATATTGCACAATTACTTTTAGAGACCCCAATTTAAACTATATAATTGGAATAAATCTTCAATATTGTACCACCATCTGATAGATTATTTTTTAACCTTCAGTTCGATGGGCCTTAGGATATGGTTTGCTTGCATTTAGTTGGATGTTTCGACATTTTTCTTTGGTGGGGTAGGGGCGAAAAAATAGGTCAGGGAAAAGCCCTGGGCCAGTGGTGGATTTTGGCCTGATAGGAAAATAGAGTTAAATATGTAATCAACATTTCTAAAATTCTAGACGGATTTAAATAAACCTAAGGATACCAAAGTTTCGTTATATATAACAGATAAATATTTTGAAGCAAGAAAACAAGCGTGTAAAAGAAAGTAAATGACGGGAGAAGTACCGATTTTTTTCTTCAAGAGTGAAACGCGGCGACGGAGTGTCAAACTTCGATGGGTGTTTTCTAGAGCTTTCTGACTAAAAATAGAAACAAGTGGAAGCAGAGGAAGCCCAAATTTTATTTTTAGATAAAATAAAATATATAGATATTCTACGTATAAACGTGGGTTTTGTAAACTTTGTTGATAATTCCACGACACAGGGGTCAAATGATTCGCAAAAGCCAAGTATAAGTTGAGGCTGTCGAAGTTGCCCCATGCCCATGGCCGAATTTGTCCCAACCTACCCTAGTAGGTTACCAAGGACACGACTTAAAAAAAAAAAAAAAGAAAGTAATAATCAAGACCACAAAAAGCACCACCTAAAAATGAATAAGTAAATAATTTTATAAATAAAATAAGAGCAAAATTTAACTGCTAACTCAGCACAGACTGGCAAAGCTATCGCAGAGAGAGTTCCACTTTCTTCTAGATCTAGTCAGTATTTCTACTGTTGTTTCTCACCACGTCGCGGGCACACAGCAAGAGGACAGCTGATGACAGTGCGGTGCAGCTGAGCTGTAAATAGGGACAGGGGCGGACCAAAACACGGACGTTGAATCAAATAAAAATACATTTCTAATGGGTTGTATTTCTAATCCTCATGAGTCATTTAACTTTCACAAACAGACAGAACAATCGCATCACAAGACGTAACGGAACATAAATACACAATTACTCACCAAAGATAACGGTACGCCGGATAGCCGTGTTGTCAGTAGTAAGACAAAGGGGATGATACAATAGCAGTAGGCCAAAAGAACGGAAAGTAAAATTTTTATCACATGACCTGCCTCAAAACAATACGGTGTTCATTTTATTGTATTTTATGAGTGGGTTTCCTCAACAAATGTTATTGGCTAATTGTTCAAAGTACTTGGAAAAACAACAATGCTAGTACAAAAATTAGGTGTACATACTTATGATATAAAATAGATTTTTAAAAAATGATTATTGTATTGTCTGAGAAGTTCATGAAGATAAAATTTAATGAAATCGTTCTTGATGTGAGACACCGTAATGAAATGCTTTGCTACGGAAGTAATCATTTGAGTCTTGACCTTTAGTCAACAAAATGGCTGCGCCCTTGATGTGATTGTGATGGTACCGTTCTTGCACTGACTGCTTTTTGAGCGCTTCCAAAAACATGTACGGAATCTAGATCTATTATGTGGAGGACTTGCTTAACGAGCGACCACAATGAAACAGAGTAGAATAGAGGGTTAGAGTTAGGGTATTGGTCTAAGGGTAGGGGTAGATCTAGAGGGTAAGTAAGGCCAAGGAGGGTTGGTGGAGTTAGGAGGCCACCGCTATTCTCACCGGGTCCCCGGTTAGCGCAGGCGAGCCTTTTGGCCTTTTGCCTTTTTGGCTATTCTCACCCGGTGTGCGTTCACCGTGATAGCCTAGGCCAACCAGTGTAGTGTTCTCTGTGAACTACAGAATTCTACACTGTGATAAAACAGAAGTGTAGAATTTTGTGCCTTGAATCCTTGAACAAACGTTCCAGCACTCTTGTGTTGAAAGCGTGCAATTTTGTCTGTGGGCAGTGAGAGAGAAAGAGAGGAGGGGGGGGAGAGAAAGGAGTAGCGCGAGAACTTCCGGGCAAAACAAAATGGCGACCCGCGTAGTTCGGCTGGATTCGAAAAGTTAAATAGCTGTAGCATTTTTATAGACAAGCACTTACTTACAACCAAATTAATTTACTTTTGTAACATCATTTATTTATTTTTGTTTTTGTCAATTTGATCGTCCACACCAATAGACAGTATTCAGAAAGAGAGAGAAATCTTGCGAGACTTCCGGGCAAAGCAATTGCTTTGCCCGTAAGTCACACCATGGACAGCTCAAGCAAGGGCACTTGACTCTTGAAGCGCAGCAAATGACTTTTCCATGAAGTTAGCCTGCGCAATGCTGAGCTCCCCTAACCCTACTCAAAATTCAAAGCGCTATGAACGGTGACGGGATGTCAACACGTTGCACTGTCTGCGTGCATGCGACAACAACACATGCGCGCTCAGTGACTGGCGTTCAACGGCGCTTCTAATCGCGGTAGTTAGATTTGGGCATCAAATATAAGAATAAAAACAATTTGACAGCGCTTCGAATTGCGGAAGTTAGATGTGAGCTTATCTTATATAAGAAAAAAACATTCGACCGCGCTTCGAATTGCGGAAGTTAGGTCTTGGCTTATCTTATAAACAACTATTCGATGGCGCTGTGAATAGCAGAGAAGTTAGATCTGGGCTTATCAACACTAGAGTCTAGTTTATAGAAATAGAAGATCAAGATCACAAGCTACGCTGTGCGTCCTGTCCTGTGGGTCTGCTGGGTGATCATCATGACGCTAGTTTAAATGTTGTGAAAAGCGAGAGAGTGTAGCGTATAAGACAAGTCAGCATAAAAGAGAAGGAAATTAGGAGGAAACGCAAATTTGAGGGAATTTTTTTGTTTTCTAACTACATAGACATCTAGGTCTGTCTTGTGCTGTATGTTAAATGTTAACCAGAGGCCCTCCTACCCGACCCCCTAAGCCCAAAAGGCATAGACTCCTAGGAAAAAAAAACTAGAACCTAGTGAGCTGCCCTAGTGAGTGCCCTCCTGAATCCTTAGATCAATGTGAATAGTCCTCAAGATAACAGTAGTCTCCGCCTAAACGCACGCCATACAAAAGTACGCTCCGCTCAAACGCACGCTTTCGTAATCTGACAGGTTTTTAACTATATAATTTAAATGTACAAACGCACGGTCACTCCCTCTAAACGCACGCTCCGATCCGCGAAACACGCCGACAGGTTAAGCTAGACAAGGGTTAATTTTCACTACAACCTGCACACCTTGCATAGACAAGCCAAGAAAACCGGGTGAGAGTGCCCCTCACGCGGAACAAAGAGAGTGATGGACAGCGTTTTCACACCAAACTTTCCACAGACATATACATAGGTCTGGTTCTCGGTCTAGGGCTGGTCGGGGGGGAGGGAGGCGGTTGGGGGACTGAACTGTTTTTTGATTGGTCACTGGAAATGCCTCTTTGAGAGAAGGTTTTTGACTGGTGTTTGGGTGACTGCGTGTAATGTTTAGTTGCTGATGCGCAACACATGTGAATGCAGTAAAACACCAGATAGGCCTCAATAGGGTTTAAGATTAGCCAAGTAAGCCTAATCAGTTGCGCTCGAAGACCTTATATATGTATTAGAAATTCTTAGAACGTACTTGTTAAGCGAATCACTAGAGAAATGTTTCTCTGAATGTAGAGATCTATGATTCTGATGTAGTCCGTGAATTTATGGTCCAGGGGTGGTCGCTTTGAAAGCCACGTGGCCGCGCCGTCATCTCTATGACTAGATTTATGTCTATCTCCAACAGTTTCCTCTTAGCTGTTCCCAACGTTTTATAGTGCATATATATTCATTACATTAATTTACATTGAGGCTGTCTTTCTACCCCCCCCCATTCAATGCCTTTGTAGTCATAACTGCAGTCACATTATCTGCAAAAATTGACGCTCACCCCGAAGGGAGGTCACTAGAATATTAAGGCAATGAAATGACTGCGTCCCTTCCTCCCCTTGCAAAGGTTCATGTAAACGCACGCTCCGTATAAACACACGCTGAAGAGCCCTCCCGAGCACCGTGCGTTTAGGCGGAGACTACTGTACCATGTTTTTAAAGACTCGTACTCATAAAAAAGAATGCCTTAAAAAATTATCTGAAAAAAACCCCCAACCATAAAACGTGTTATTTAAAAAAATCTAAATTGCATTTTTATAAAAAAGAAAAGAATCTGGTTTCAGCGAGCTAGTTTCCACAACAGTACAATATGGGCAAATCTTTTATTTCTCCCATTATAGTTGTGACTCTCTGGATTGTATGTTACCCATCTTCTATTTTGAATTTCGTCAAATAAAAAAAATAATTAACTCATTCAGTGACTATATGCAATATTATGGTATATGGTGAAGTAAACTTTCAATGTGTGTGTCTTTGGATGGTAGAGAGTGCTTCAATGACAATGTTATTATCGGGGTATACATGAAAGTTTTGTTATGAATTGGTTTTGTCCAAGTTTCAACTCCTTTGCACCCTCCATTTTGTCATAATTACTCCAAAAATTCTCCCCCACGCACTATTTCTGGGGTCGATTTCAACCATTCAAAAAACACAAAGAAAGAAAAGCGGCTTTACTTTCACATTGTAGCCTCGTTTTCAGTCATATATGTCTAGATCAGACTATCTCACTGCCTAGAATTGATTGAAATGCATGATATAGCAGTTTGCTTGAGGGATCAGGAGCATATTTGGTGACCCCCTGGCAAAGTAAGTCTCTATAATGGGTAAATGGTTAAAGTGGAAATGAAAAGCTTCACAAATTATGTTCTCTCATTTTAATTTTTACTTGGATTTGTGATAGTACAAGAGAAAGAAAGAAGTTGAAATGGCACTGGTGAGATGAAAAGCGTCTAATTTTTTAACTAGTAAAATTTCACACATGTGGGCTATTAACAGATTCGGTGAGTCAAAAATATAGTTGGGCACTGATAATTCAAACAAGTCGGGGATTGACAAAGATTTTTTTTCGACACATTCATAATTTGGGTAAAGCGAATAACAAAAACTTACACATGATGATAGAGATATCAGTCAGGAATGGCAGAATATTTAATGATGGCCAACCAGAGATGTTCTTTAACATGCGCCCACCGATCCGAAATCTTCTCTTTATTCGTACGTTCTCAGTTGCAATGATTTGAAGTAGACCTCTTGAGAATGACTCAAACATATGCAACCATTTTCATTATTTTTGTTCAGAGACTGACCGTGAGAACAGACGCTGGTGAGAACGGAGACCAGACATCAGACATCATGCTTCTTGGGCGGTGCCTGTGGACGAGCAGCTCACCACTGCGCTCTTCTGGGCCTGTCGTCTTGGTGTCACGATTATGTACGTGTTTGTTTCACAATTATGTACACTTGATTTTTATATCACGATTAATATATGTGTGAGTGTGTGTATCACAGTTTTGTATCTCGACGCAATGGAATCAGGCGCTCGTCAATTTTTGGGCATGAAGAGTTATTTTGGACATCATAACTCACTCACTGCCATGCCTGATCCCTGTCGGGTGAACCGCGTAGGCCGCTAACTGCCAAACCCGAAACCTGTGGGGTGCGTCTTTACTACTATCTTTCAAACATTCTGCGACATGTTTCGGGCTTGGCAGTCGAAAGTATGCGAGATAAGCCAGTTTGGTTTCAATTCCGCATTGTTGCAGTTGCAGTAACTTACCTTGAATATGTTACTTAAAGATCCGACTTTTTCTAACCCTTCCGAAACAAACTAAAAACTTCTAATGTTGCTCAGTTATGATGGCGACAACATCTCAACGAGGTCGAAACATTTGAATTGATGGACCCATTTGTCAATGAAGAGTCAAATTTAGATATTTTTGCAGATGATAGCCATGACGAACCATCATAAAGAGTTGATGAAGAGTATAGGAGAGGTGTGGACGCAAGTGAAGATGAAAATTGTTATCTAGATCTAGAATCAGGTGTTCCCAAGTTCAGGCCCATAACGCAAATGTCGAAGAACACACAAAGTAGATTTAGACCCAAATGATAGGAATACAGCTGACTTACACCTTCCTAGGCCTACACAATGACACACAACATATATATGGGCTGTATCCGCGTCTGTATCTGTGCCTGTGTCACGATAATGTACATGACATGTCTGTCATGATTATGTACATAATAATAATAAATAGCATTTATGCTGCGCATTTCCATTTTCTAAAAAATGTTGAGTGCCGATTACGATTCAATAAAGATATCACATTTTAGAAATTAATGGACATCTGTGTACGTAAAACATAATATGTATGTGTATTTAAAAAATTCTATGAGAAAAATAGTCCTGCAGTGAGCCTGGCCGTATGTTCCCCTCCCTAAATATAAAGTTTGTATCACGATTTTTAGTGTCTGCAAAATGATATATAAGTGTGTTTTTTCATGATTACATGCACATGTTCTTATCCTGATTATTTACACATATGGGTATGTATCTGCGTCGTGATTATGTAAGCGTGAATAAAAGTATTATATATACGGTACTTCATCTGTATCATACTTAAAGTCGATTGGGTTTTTTTTTCACACACTTGTTGCGGGAAGCCCGGTAATATTAGATCTGGTATAAGTCAACCTAGCAAGATAAATCTGCTTTTTTACAAATTTCACTAAAAAATGAGCAGTGTTTCTGCTTCAGAAATCTTGTAGAATAATATACTTCGTTTTCCTTTTAATTACACTTACATAACAGCACTAACAGGTTTCCATTTTGTCAACTTTGTTGCACTGAGAAAATATATGCTACTTTCATTGTTTCTATGGTATGGTGTAAGTGATTAAATTCTTGTGAACTTTAAAAAAATCTCTTAAAGTACCCAGACTCCTGCGCATGTGTTTCTAAAAATGAGTGAGACCTGAGTGAGTTAAAGCTTTCTGAAATGTTTTGTTAACTAAGACAAGCTTTTAAGCTTTTTGAGGTGTGTTTATGAAATAAACGAACAAAATTCACTTCTATAATGTTTTTAAATTAAGTACCTGTAATTTCTCTACATTTTCAGTGAGCAGTTGCCATGGTGCTCAGAGCTCAAGTGATCGGAGCTGCCCCGTGAGGTCAAACTTTGCAGCTGGGATTCTGAGTAGAAAGGACGCTGCCGGAAACGTTTGTCTGCCAAACAAAGTGGATCTCCGTCTCTCATCAGCAAATGGCTTGATCTTGCCTTTGGCGAGCGCTCCATGCACACAGTCGTCGCTCTCTTTGGTATCTCAGGGAACAGAGAATGAGTACCAGTGCCCGTCCCGTCTTCTTGAACATTTCTCTCACCTGGTCGTGGTGGACGCGGTCGTGGAGCGTGTGTCGTACGTCTGCCCCAATTCTCCTCTCCCCATCCAGCCCATGATTGCTCCGAACCTTCACGACACGGAGGTGCGCGAACCGCCTGGCAACTCGATGCTCGGAGAATCTCCTGGCAAGTATGCCAAGCACATCATGAAGATCCGCCACAAAAAGATGAAGAAACACAAGCTGAGGAAGCTGAGAAAAAGGATGTACTTTGTGTGGAAAAAGGCCAGGCTTGCCCGGAAGGCCAAGAGGAAGGCGATCTACGACAGGGAGCTGGAGGATATTCGGAAGACTGGAGAACAGTTTGAGGCGGAAGATTTTGTCCGCGAACAGTTGAGAAAAGCCAGGAGGGGAGGTTACTTCATCAATATCTTTCAGTCTAGGGTTTGAAGATGGTTGGGAGAGTGTGAAGTTTTTGATTCTTTGAAAGTTTAGATATGTTTAGTTATCATATGTTTGTGTTGTTACGATTGTGAAGTATGCTTTGGGAGTTAAAATTTATGAGGATGGTGGTTCTTGTGGATACGATGGTTATTGCGATTTTGTATGTTGTGTCAAGAATGAAAACATTATGTCTGCATTAGTTATTTTTAACTATTTCTCTGATAGGTCATGAACCAAGTGGACGTCAGTTATTTTTTTGGATATGTAGTGTAACGCCATAAGTGACCAGCAAGGATGAGAGAAGAAAGTCTTCTCTCAAGTGGTGCTTGTTTGTGACTTTGACTTGACTTACGTCCTGGGCCTCCAATTTGACATAGCGTCGTGCCCATTTGTTGTCATTATATCCAGACAATTTCATGAGTGTTTCAGTTTCAGAGCTGTGGGGAGAAATGTTTGGGCGACAGTAGTATGTATAAAATAGTACTTTGCAATAATGTTGGCTTGTCTGTTGAATTGAACTGAATGAATGAGTAAACGGCTGTATGGTTTATGACATTAATTAAAGACTGAAGAGTTTACTTGTTTCTGTATTTGAGAATTTTTGGTGTGTTTTTTCTCCCAAGGTTTTGGTGACAAATTGTGTTACCCGTGTCATGAGTGTTGAGCGTGTACATATACATGTGTACCTGTCATCATTACCTTTCTCACTCTGCACCAGGGTATAGGCCACGGACAAACACCTTCCACCTTTCTCCATCCTGGGCCAGCCTCTTCATCATCATGTTATTCCAAATCTTCTCACTTTTCTGTACATCTATTTCTGTGATTCTTCTCCAGGTTCCACTCGGTCTTCTCCTTGATCTCTTACCCTGTGGATTCCAATCCAAATTAAACTTTCTTTGTTATTCAGCTGCCTGACTTCCTGAGAGTATGTCCGATCCATCGCCACCGCCTTCTTCCTGCCTCATGTCTGATTGGGATCTGCCTTGTTTTCCTTTACATTTCCTCATTGGTGACCCTGTCTGTCCATCTGATCCTCAGTAACTTTCTTAGACACCTGTTCAAGAAAACCTGGATCCTCTTTATGCAAGTCTGTGATGCGGCGTGTGTACCTGTGCTTGGATTGAACTACTTTGTTTCACTTGATGGGTCGAGCCCTTAATCCATAGATGTGTTATCGATAAAAATAAACGGTAACATAAATGATGACACTATGAGGGGGGGGGGGGTGGGGGTGATGAGAGGGGGTGGGGGGAGGCAATTACAGCGAATTATAGGCGATTTCCAGGTTGAGAACCATAGATATGGGGTACAGAGAAGCGGAAGCAATAAATTGGCAAAAAGATATTATTAATCCGAATACAGGAAAAAGAGGCTAAAACAGCACCTGGACATGGATGGCTGGTGCCTCTATAAATAAATCATTGATGGTCTGGTCTGGGTCGAGCCTTCCGCCTCGGTTTGCAATCTGGAAAGCTAAACGTATTTGATTTTCAAAGGCTAGATAGGTGGAGAGTGCGTGATTACAATGAAAGTCTCGACTGCCTGGAGATCCTTTAAGTGGCCTCAGGTAGTGACCGCTTGGACTTGGAGGTCCCCAGATCGCATCCAGACTTTTCCATGGTCTCTCTACAACATCCTTATTTCTCCTCATGATCTCTCTCCCTCTCTCCAACATCTTAACTTCCCCATGGTCTCTCTCTCTCTCTCTCTCTCTCTCTCTCTCTCTTTGGACAACATCTGAGCTTCCCTATGGTCTCTCTACAATGGTATGAAATCCAACAGTGCCAACTGGCTATTGCAAACTGGTTTTGATCGAGGGCCTTAATAAAAGATCATATTTTATAACCCCTTGGTTTCCCTACAACAATGTGTCAATAGCCACAACATGCCCGGAACCCCCCACAAAATTGGCTGTGATAATGAATCCATCGTGCTTTATTTTGGCTTTTTAAAAAAAATTTAATGTCGATGTATTAACATCTCCATTGACATAATTTAGATTGTATAGGAGGCGGGCTTCCGGCCCTTCCTGTCAGGGCCAACCGGAGCCGAGAGAAGATACAACACCCCTGAAAAAAGACAGAGATACACGTGCTTGATATTATTAACAATTTCTCCCCACTCAGAAATCGAACTCCAGTCTTCTGCATGTAACAGCGAAGTACTCAGCCACAACACCTACCAGTCACCAGTTTATTTTAGCTTTTCAAAACAAAAATTGACAAGGGGCTGCTTTGTCTCTAAACCCTAGACTTGTCCCAACTTCATGTCTTTCCCAGCAGTTAGTAAGGGAGGGCCTGACTTTTTTTATCTTCATCTCTGGTACAATATGTACCAAAATGGTATAATTATTATAATATAGTAATAGTAATAGTAACACAGGTGGAGAGAGCATTCAAAATCCTCAATAGTCAATAGTAAAAAAAAAAGGTAAAGTAACAACTTGAAGATTTGAACTCTACCTGCTTTGTTTGAGTAAAGACAAGCATATGGACACAATTATGGCTATTTATTGCTGGGAAAAAGACAGACAAAAGTAACATTAACAGGGAAAGTACACAAGTAGGACCTACCAGTAGCGCCCTCCACCAACCATCCGCGAACACTTCCTGAGCTGCCAGCGCAGAAACTTGTCTCTCCCTGTGATGTCATCAAACTTACAGACTCGCAGAAAACAGACGAGTAATACTTCACATGAAGTGATAGACTCAGAGAAAAGATCATCCTAGTAGACTCTTGAACAGAGTCTCTCTCTCAACCCAAATCTCCCCGCTCAATTTTCTCGCCTCTACTCTCATTCAACCAAAAAGTCTTTCAACTCAACAAGTATGAGTAAGTGTAAGGGTATCACGGCCCTATCAATCTCTCTGCTGTACTGTAAGTGTAAGTGTACGGTCAATCTCTCTGCTGTACTGTAAGTGTAAGTGTACGGTCAATCTCTCTGCTGTACTGCAAGTGTAAGTGTACGGTCAATCTCTCTGCTGTAAGGGTAAGTATGTGTACGTTTTTTGTTTCGGTAGAGGTTTTACGGCGCTCACAACTGTGTAAGGGTTTAACACCCTTATCAATCTCTCCGCTGTAAGTAAGTAACGCATTCATGACCCAATCAATCTCAAGTACTAGTAAATTTTAGTAAGAGTTTTACTGCACTTACAATACAATAAAGTCATATAAGTGCCGAAGATAACAAACACAAAAAAGGAGGGGAGATAGAGGTAATAGATGGGAATAAATAGGAAAAAAGGAGCAAATCACACCAGAACATCCGCCAACGACTCACATTTCTCTTTGCTGTAAATGTGATTGAGTAAGTGTTAGTGTTAGGGTTTATTAACACCTAAATCAATCTCTCTGCTGTAAGTGTAAGGTGTTAATGCCCCTATCAATCTCTCGGCTCAGCTTCCCAAACCCAGAACCACTTTGACTGCTTTGAGGCTTTGATGTCATAGAAACGTTTAATGTCCCTGTACTGACTATTATTAGCTAGTACTATGGTAGAGCATGACTTACTTTACTTTTACTTTGACTTTTCCCATCCAGCGGCCATTTTGGTTCTAGCCCTTCGGTCTGTCGATATGGCAAAGAATTTGCAGGTTTTAATCAGCTGTGCTTTGTCGCTGTATAGAGTATTTCCGATGTTTGGGGAGGCAGGTAGGTAGGTGCTACGCAGGTCACAAAGTGCTGGGCAGTTAAAGAGGTGGTGTGGTACTGTTTCATCCTGGCAGTTGCACAGCGGGCAGTCGGGTGGGGTATCCTTGTGGATCCTATTAAGGTAGGAATTTAGTGGTATGTGTTGTGTTCGTAGGCGAAAAACCGTGACTTGTTCTCTTCTACTTAGGGAATTTATTGCATCTTTAGAGTTGGGGTAGTGCATGACACAAAGTAGGTCATCATGGAAAAACCAGAGCTCAGAGACGTCAGAGTTCCCAGACACTGAAAGCACCCTGGTTCCAGACAAAACTTTAAAAACAGTCTGCAGTGGACAAGAACATGAAAACTTAACTCGGGTTCAAACCTGAAACCTCTATGTGTCGGTCAAATATTACAAACCAACAGCACATGGGGAGACCATAGCAGCCACACGCAGCCACACGCAGCCACACGCAGCAACACGCAGCAATAATTGTGAGTTCTTCTTTCAGTATTGAAAGTCATAGGGTCACAATAAATAAACTAAAAGTAACCAATCCTATGTATAGAAAACAGAAAAAGTTGAATAATCAACCTGTACAGTATAGTAAATAAAATAGAAATAAAAGTAACCAATACCAATGATACATATATAGAAAACAGAAAACATTGAACGATCAATTTTCGTTATGAAGCAGCATATTTTATTTTCGTTATGTCAATGTAATAATACGAGTGATGCACTCTGCGAGACTCGGGAATGTGTCGGCAAAATTAGTTTTCAACTAGAACTAGAAGTGAGCAATGAGATTGGGTCGTCCCGTCCTGAGTTGGGTTTTGAATTATGTATGCCACGAGATTCTCCTAATCCTCATGCCTATTTTCCTAAAGTCATTCTATGAAAAAAGGTCTAATGATCTATTTTGATTTATTACATTATATCTGACAGATTCTGACATACCCATTTCATATATTTTTAAATAATTTTTAAAATATTTTTTTTTTCTTGTTTTCATTTTCATTATAAATTGGTCAGTTTTTGTTTGTTTTTTTCAAACTTAATAAAGATTCCTGTTCACCATAACAATGGTTGTAGATTAGACAACTTCTAAAAATGTAAAGTGAAAGCTCTCAACACCCAGGAGAGTCCCTGCTATGAGACCGTGGCGAAAAGTCAAAATGTCCAAACGATTATGACAACACATTCCCAATTCTCGCTGGTTGCCTCACACACACAATATGTATGCTTGTTACAAACACAGAGATTCATACACATACAAACAATAATATTAGTCTCAGTAACAACAGCAGTAAAACAGATGGCTATAGATAACAAGCTTCGCTTTGTGCTTTGATTCAGATTCGCTCAATTAATAAATAAATAAATAATATTTCAAGTTCGTTTTTAAACTTATTTTAAGCACGCAAGTCCAAACAAAACAAAAACATTCAAAGTATTTAAAAAATTGAAAATTGACCCAGCAACTCCGACCTGAGGACTACAGACATGATGTTGATTTCATCTTACCGACAAAATCATCACGTCAAGAAAAGGTGACTCCAACACATGAGAATTAGAATCACAAAACAGTAATTAGAACTGCAAACCATTTTAAAATTCTATGTTATCTGAATATATAATTCGGTCAACTTTTCTAGAAAAAGACGCAGTACTTTCTATTAGCATTCTATTAGGGCAGTGTGGCACACCATAGATGTGCATTCCCACCATTTCAAAGTTACCAATCTATCTTGAAATGATGCACGTCCCTCTCGCTATACATAAAACTGTCCCCGTGGTTTTAAACACCCTGCATAATTTAGCGAAATTTGATCATTTTTTGCATAATTTCTGATTATTTTCCCTTATCATTCTTCGTTAAAATTAACAGAATCGCATAATTTCACGTGTTTGGGGCTCAGTTTGCATAATTTCATAATTTTTCATGCATAAAACGACGGGGACAGATAAAAATGTTCCTCTGAGTACAATGGCATAAAGATTAAAATTTGTTTCGACTCCTAGTTGTGTCCGAGCAAAGTGTGAGTAATTTTGGAAGTTTCAGTTACACAGACTTAAATATAAAGGAGCTTTGAAAAAAGGAGAACATTTAATAATCCTGACCACCATTTGATTGAGAAGAAAGCTATGTGCTTCAAAAAGCTGTTGTCATGTGTATCCCACTGCGTCCTGTGTTTTACACAGTGTGTTTTGTGAGTCCCACTGTGTTGTCTGTGTTAGAAATTGATTCTGTAGCTCTAATGTCAATGAAATGCTTCCTGGGTACTCTAGCCCCTTGATATTATCTATAACTATAACACATGATGTACCTTTTAAAATTTCAGTAAGATAAAAGAGCAACCTATAGCAAGCAAGAAGAAAGGAAAAGGACATCATTTTATCTATACAAGCTTGAAAGCTAGTTTTTTCGTTTTCGTAGGAGTATCATGGCACTTCCAACAATATAAGAATAAGGTTGTGTATCTTAACTTAATGAATGTAAGTGCCGAAGATTAGAGGTGTTACAAGAGAGTAACAAACACAAAAAAGAAGGAGGAGAGATCAGGACGATAGATGGTTGATAAGAAAGAAGGAGCAAACCACACCAGAGCACCCGCCAAACATCCGCATTGAAAACTAGCAGAGAAAACAGGGGTTTTTCTTCAAGGTCATGCAGAAAAAAAAAGCAGTGTCAAGCAGCTACCAATAAATAAATGAACAAAAATATATTAGCAAATGTCAAGTCACGGACAGGAAACTACTAGATCTAATACGAGATTGACTAAGAATGTAAATCTTCGATGATAATACACACGAGTCATCATGCATACATAGAAATGCCATGAACAGAACCACGTTGGTGTCTCGACAACTCTTAGCCCTAGAACTAGAACTAGAACCAGAACCAGGAGCCTTTGACTCTGAGTGAGACAACAGTGGCCCTGGTACAACAACACAGAGAGAAGACTAGACAGGAAGTTCACAATAAATACTGCTGAAGGACCAGAAACAGTCGGGGGGGGGGGTGCTGGTCTAGTCGACGGTCTACCGTGCAACAGTAAGCCGTCTACCGTGGCGTAAGCCCCACCCAATCAACCAAAGTATACCATACAACAAGAGTGAATGAAATCAGTAAAAAGCCAGTTTTATATTTTTAAGCATGTTGCAGTCGTATATAAATAAATGTGTAGATCTAATTAATTAGATTAATGTGATGATGAATATAATGACGTACCGGGTAGCTGAAAATATTTAAGACATACACAACATCAAAAGCATTTCACAGCCCTATAGTCTGTACAGTCTTTGACAACTGACAGTACACAGTCTTTGAACGTTTTTGATACAATGCCATAAATAAGTCAACGAGTATATGTGAGGCATGCTGACAAAATGAGTTACTTCTCGCAATCCACAAATAGAGATATTGGCCAAAAATCGACATTAGGGTCAAACTTGTAGATTTTCAATTGATGCCATATTCTTTAACTATAACCTGTCTTTTATTGTTTCATACTAATAAACTGTAAAAACTTCACATATAAGCGTGATTCATCTGTTTCTTTAAGGCTTGAATCTGAGAAGTAACTGGTTTTGTCAGCACGCTTCACATATAATAAGGATTTCACAACCCTCTCAACACTGTTAGGTTATTTAAGCGAGACGGAACCTCCGCATTTAACATCCGCCTCTGTTAGAACCAAGCCAAATCCATCTCTGTTACGACCTAGCCAAATTGTCCGATAGCATTGAAAACTCCACAAAACGACCCGAGTTCAAGAATGCACAGTCTGGATTTCGCACCAGAACCATCCGCTCAACAGTCCAGCATGATACCAACTAAGCTAACAGAGCAACCAAAGCCATAAATACAAAGTTTTGATTATAGGACATGCCCAGGGTGAGATTTTTTTCACGAAAAACCACCCTTGATAGATTTTGGTGTTGACGTAAATTTTTCCAATCAGCGACAGTGACAGAGTGACCTTGGTCTGGCACCACATCATCACATGAGTGGCCCCCCCCCCCCCCCCCCCGTCCCACCGTAAGGTTGTGAGACTTGTGTGACTTGTCCCGGGAATAAAAGACTAAAAGAAAAGTAGCCACTGGACGCTCTATCAACTGAAAATCTATGTGTTCCTTTGTCCAACTGTAATAACTCTATTTGATGACCACACAAACAGTTGTAAAGAGCACAGAGCATACCTATAGAGCATGGATACACATTATATAAATATATCTGTCCCCGTGGTTTTCTGCACCCCGCATAATTTAGCAAAATTTGATGGGGGTTTTTTTTTGCATAATTTCGGATTATTTCCGTTTATCATTCTTTGTTTGAATTAACAGAATCGCATAACTTCACATTTTTGGGCTCAGTTTGCATAATTTCAGAATTTTTCTTGCATAAAACGACGGGGACAGATATATATATATATATATATATATATATATATATATATATATATATATATATATAAATATATATATGCAGTTATCATTATTACATGATGTGCATCTCAAATTATGTCTAGTCAACATCCATGAGACTGGGATACCAGAAAAAGAAAGATACAAACGATGTGAAAAAGGTGTAACAGGACCAGGGTGAATTTATGGGGGTCACTAATTGAGGTCAGTTGATACTGATAGAGCAGCAAAATAAAGGGTGTGGGGCGGAGAGGATGGCGGAACAACAAGAGTGGGACTCGCGCTCGCCTAGTGGTGTTGACATGACACTGTTCCATTTCAGTCAGTGTTCCGCCACAGTTCCACGAGCGCTCGCGTACTCGCCATTCTTTGAAACCGACTGAATCGCGAATCGCCACTCTCAAATTTGGCGAGCAGGATCCAGCCCTAACTGGCAGTGGGTAATCTGTATGTTACAAAGCAGCCAACTGAAGGTTACAAACACACAACTGTATCACTGTCTCATGATATGTCATGAATAGATATATATATATATATATATATATATATATATATATATAACATCAGATCTCGCAAAGTAACGCAGAAGAAAAATAAGACTTTAAGGTTTGTTTAAGTAAAAAAAATAACAAAACTTTCGGGACAATCTATCAGGGAAAAAAAAAAAAAAGAAGAAAAGAACGATCTTAAATGAAATTTTCCCAAGAACGACAAGGGGCCTTCAGCTGACACAGCAACCTGGCAATCTGTGTATCTGGGTCAAATACCAAAGCGAAACTGTAGTGAAAGTCGTCTGAATATCATTCCATCATAAACTTCTCAAAACCAAAGCGAAACTGAAAGTCGTCTGAATATTATTCCATCATAAGCCTCTCGAAAGCTCAAACAAACAACAACACCTCAAGATCAACTGGACGTTGGAGACAAGAAAAGAAAGCGGTCGCATAACCTTTCCATAACAAATTAACCAGTGGAGCAGCCACTAGCGTTAATAATAATAATAATATTTGCATTTATATAGCGCATATCCATATCTTTACAACTATTATTACCCCAGCAGACCCTGTGAGAACACTCAGAAACATATTCGGCTTCCGCGGAAGCATACAGTGCAAGCTGCGGATTTTACGCGCTCAAACACTATCAAACTGACAAGATCTTTCACTGTCTATAGCCGGGTACCCATTTCCTGGGTGAAGTGAGGAAAATTTGTGCAAAGTGCCATTCCCAAAGACACAACGTCGGGCCCCTGACGGAATTCAAACCCACGACCTAACGGTTGCTGGTCCGAGAGCTTAACCACTAAGCCACCAACGCGTTAACGTTAATAGAACATTCTCCCTGATGCAAAGATGCTGCGTTTACCGTTAATTTAGTATGTGAAATCTGGAGGGCAGAACAAACAGCAATGTAAACTGTAGTAAACAAGATACATTTAATTATATTCCTATTGGGCAAAACCAAAAATTCAACGCAGTTTCATTAAAACAGTGGAATTTTTCTTCTTCTTTTTTTTAAGTACAAGATAAATCAGCAAAGAACCTCATAATTTAAACTTACAGTAGTATCTAAAAATTAAACATGCAACTAAAAAAACATGGGAAATTAATGCAAGTGGAGGTCTGATTTGTAAAGGTCTATGTCTGCTCAATAAAATAAAGATTTAAAAAATGACGATTATATTCACATGACTTCACTATATTTCCCTGTGCACTCCCAAATCTATGTGTGTAGAGCACACAGACTATGATAAAAATACCTTATGTATGTGAAGCATAGACTGTAATAAAACAATTTGTGTCACGACGCAGTGGAATCAGCCGTTAATCAATTTTTGGGCATGTAAAGTCATTGGTATCATCTTAAAGATCGTTCATTTGCCTTGCTTTCAATGAAAAAATATCCATCTCTCTTAAACAGAAGTCGAGATATTTGCGATTGAAGAAGGTGGGGGTTGCCTCGTTTTAGAGGTAGAAATTGCGAGAAAATGTCCGGAAAAGTTTGAGAGTTCTTGAAAATGCAAATTTACATTTTTTGCGCCTTTAATCAACGTTTTTCAATAAACTCCACCTATACATGTGTTTTCAAATGGACATAGAAGGTGTGGAGTCAAAAAACAAAAATTCAATAAAAATTGCCAAACGGGTGAAAAAAATGCTGATTTCTTCTATTTCATTATTTTGACTATGACGAGCCTGATTCCACCACGCTGCCTCACATTTATTTGAAGCATAGACTGTAATATAATAATTTATATGTGTGTACAGCACACAGACTATAATATAACAATTTATGTGTTGTGGAGCATAGACTACATTCGTACAATTTGTAAAAAATAATATCTTCGCGGTAAGTGAAGCGCGGATTCTCTCCCACTGAAAGCCAATCACAACACAAGACAAGCATTTGGTGAGGAGAGAAAAAAACTTACTTTAAAAAAGGGCAACCCTTACACATTATTAAACCCTCACAACTTGTATCCTTACAAAATATCATAACCTTCGGCCAGTAAACCTAATAACGTAATAATAATAACTGTCAACCCATAACCCTTACATACAACCTGTGTACCCACAGACATAACTGTCAACCCATAACCCTTACAACCTGTGTACCTACAAAGCAAATATAACTGCCAACCCATAACCCTTACAACCTGTGTACCTACAAATATAACTGTCAACCCATAACCCGTACAACCTGTGTATCTACAGATATAACTGCCAACCCATAACCCTTACATACAACCTGTGTACCTACAAATATAACTGTCAACCCACAACCCTTACAACCTGTGTACCTACAAATATAACTGTCAACCCACAACCCTTACAACCTGTGTACCTACAAATATAACTGTCAACCCACAACCCTTACAACCTGTGTACCTACAAATATAACTGTCAACCCACAACCCTTACAACCTGTGTACCTACAAATATAACTGCCAACCCATAAACCTTACATACAACCTGTGTATCACCAGATGTAAAAACTGTCAACCCATAACCCTTACAACCTGTGTACCTACAAATATAACTGCCAACCCATAAACCTTACATACAACCTGTGTATGAACAGATGTAAAAACTGTCATCCCATAACCCTTAAAACCTGTGTACCTACAAATATAACTGCCAACCTATAAACCTTACATACAACCTGTGTATGAACAGATGTAAAAACTGTCAACCCATAACCCTTACAACCTGTGTCCCCCCAAATGTAATAATTGTCAACATGTAAATGCTTACCTTACAACTTGTATCCCTACAAAATAGGACAGAAATTGAGGGAAGACACCACCAATGAGAATAGATTCTCAAAAGATTTCTTCTCAAAGACACGTAAAAATACAGTCAAACCTGCAGCAACAACAGCCATTTGTATAAGATAATCAACAGTACAAACAACCACTTGCCACTATTCCTTCCTTGTGGTTGTTTCACATTATAGAGACACTTATAAAAAGACGTCCACCTGTCTAGGAAGATGGCTACTTTTCTCCTCAACAAAGAGTGGCCGTCTGTCTACGACAAATTCGACTTCTGTATAATAATGGAGGTCTTTTTTCTATCACTGAAAGCACAGTATTTTATCATTACGACTAAATAAAATATTCATTAAAATTTTTATTTACACATCTGGATATGTAAAGATAATGACACGGGTTAATTTTTAAAAATCTGCTTGAAAGATGTGGGTTAATACATATATAATATATATAAGTATCAAAAACAAGTTTCCTAAATCTGCAAGTCATAAGTTCCTGATACATTGTAAAGGTTAACTGCCCTATCCACACATACTATGACTTCCTGACTGAATATAAAAATGTTTTTAACTGTCCCACCATGACTTCCTGACTGACGGCTAACGTCAACTGTCCCATTACAACTTCCTGACTGACCACAAACGTCAACTGTCCCATTACAACTTCCTGACTGACCGCAGACGTCAACTGTCCCATTACAACTTCCTGAGCGATTATTGTAAACATTAACTGTCCCATTCACAAAAGTTATAACTTCCTGACTGATTGTAAACGTTAACTGTCCCAATATAACTTCCAGACTGATTGTAAACGTTAACAGTCCCAGCACATTAATTTACATCAACCAAGCAAGGCCGACTGAAATATTGCATCCTCACTGAAAGTTAGAGATATTTAGTAGCTTCGTCACGCGAGAATCAAGCTCTCTCCTCTTTCACCTTCAATGCTTGAGAACCTAACTGCCACACCAAAGATGCTGATGACAACAGCATTGCTGACGGCACAGACTGCCACAAAAGACAGCAGTCTCTACATACTATCAGACGGAGAACCCATTGTTACATCGCTATAGCATATTCTATCTGATCGCGCCGAGGAGTGGTCAGGCGTGTCTCAAACCAGCTCCTTATGGAGACAATTAGCAGGAAGACCCTGAGGTGGATGCTGGAAAGGAGAGATGAGCAGCTATGGACATGTGCCGCCTGCTATGATTCTAGCTCGAGATCCAAGTAAATCCAAGTAAATCCAAGTATCTAAGAAATGGGTAGGCCTATAAAAACAAGAGTAACAAAATTCTTTTGTTCGTTTCGTTAGAATAAAGAGAAGAGAAGCACAACGACACAATAATGGTCATTTGGTGCTGGGGAAAAGTAAGACAGACAGACAGACAGACAGACAGACAGACAGACAGACAGACAGACAGACAGAGACAACAGAAGGAAAGTACAGAAGTAGAACCAACCAGTGGCACCCTCTCCCCACCTGCTACACTCTTCTCTGACATTAACTTGGACAAAAACTTGTTCTGGATTGAACACAGCATCTGTTGCCACAGCTAGGAGTAGCAGGAGACTCGAGGCGTCGCCGCCAACTGTGGTAACATAGATGCTTCATCAGTGACGCAAACTTCAGTACTCTCTTGTCAAAAAAAAAACCTCCAAAAAAAAACACACCAAAAAAACAAACCCTGGCAGACAACTGACAGCTGTCACAGCAAGCTCACATGCATATGCACGCAAACAAACACACACACACGCATGCATGCATGCACACACACACACACGCTCACACTTCTGTAACTTGTAAAAAAAAAAACATTAAATGAAATTCTCTGAATCAAACACAACAGGACAAGAGAGTCCGGAAAAAAAAACCCCATAAAAATGGTGACTTAAAGCTGGACATGGCACACTTTCACTTTAAACGGTTTCAGAGTCAGATGTGTAGGATGTAAAAAAAAAAAAACCCAACCACTTTCACACATTCTTCACATGTCTATGAAAATGTGAAATGGTGTAGGTTTAACGCCACTAGAAACACATCAAGTGTCTTCTAAAAGGAAAATGTACACAGCAAATTAATCTACATATATGACTTCCGGCAGTTGCCAAGAGTAAGTGCTTGAAAAAAAAAAGAAAAAAAAAAGCAAGCAGAAACAGTTCAAATAAAAAGAAAGTAAAATATTTTAAAAACAGGCCCCAAAGTTTGTATCATTGCTGTTGTCAAAAAATGAGTCGCTTCAAGCATTTTACCCTCAATGTAAAACCATGATCATTTTACTCTCACTGTATGTAAAACCACAATCATTTTACCCTCACTGTATGTAAAACCACAATCATTTTACCCTCACTGTATGTAAAACCACAATCATTTTACCCTCACTGTATGTAAAACCACAATCATTTTACCCTCACTGTATGTAAAACCACAATCATTTTACCCTCACTGTAAAACCATGATTGTTTTAGATTGTTTTACCCTCACTGTTTGTAAAACCACAACCCCTTTACTCACTGTAAAACCATGATCGTTTTACCCTCAGTGAAAAACCACAACCCTTTTACTCACAGTATAACCGTGATTGTTCTACCCTCACTGTAAACACTATAAAACCAAGATTGTTCTACCCTCACTGAAAAACCACAACCCTTTTACTCACTGTAAAACCATGACTGCTTTACTCTCACTGTAAAACCATGACTGCTTTACTCTCACTGTAAAACCATGACTGCTTTACCCTCACTGTAAAACCATGACTGCTTTACCCTCACTGTAAAACCATGACTGCTTTACCCTCACTGTAAAATGTCACTTCAGATGTTTTCTCCACACTGTAAAATGTGGTCAAACGGAACTCAGTTCGAACACATGAGTTCGACAATATAATAGAAGATATCATTTGTATATGTGCAAATTCCCGCTCAACAGCAAACCATATGCACTATGCACTTTACAATCTAAATGTGAGGCAGCGTGGTGGAATCAGACTCTCGTCAAAATAATCAAAGTGAAGAAACTTGCATTTTTCCGCAGGTTTGTGAATTTTTATCAAATTTTTGTTTTTTGGCTCAGCACCTTTCATGTCCATTAAAGAACTCGTTTCCGTGTGGATTTTTCTTAAAAACGTTGATTAAAGGCACCAAAAATGTAAATTTTCAGTTATCACGGACTTTTAATCTAAAGAAATAAGTAATCTTTGGCGGCCATTTTCTCAATAATTTTGCCTCTGAAAATAGGTGACCCCCACCTCCTTCATTCACAAATATCTCGACTTGTATTCAAGATAAAGGGGTATTTTTTCATACAAATAAAGACAATTGAACAAGCTTTAAGATGATACCAATAACTCGACATGCCCAAAAATTGACGAGAGCCTGATTCCACCACGCTGCCTCACATTTGTATATGTGCAAATTCCCGCTCAACAGCAAACACCATATGCACTATGCACTTTACAATCTATATATATTAATACAACTTATGACAACAACTGGAAATACACATTTTCTCCAACAGTGTTCTTATTCTCTCTTACAATTAAAAGATCCACTTTTTACTTAGGCTATATGACCAGGACTAGAGCAGGGGACGGCGACACATTAGCCCCAATTTGGAAAAAAAAACAGATAAAATTTCGGATGAAAAAACTACAACAGAGAAATAGTCAACAGAACCTACGGTTCAGAATGTCGACTCCGAGGTTGACCAGAATTGCTGAAAGACACCACTGGTGAAAGGATGAGTAGAGAAAGACAAAACTAGTGGAAGGATGAGTAATAGAGAAACATAACGATGGTGAAAGGATGAGTACAGAAATATACTGGAGATAAAAGTACTGCTACTGGCCATAGTCTAAGTCTATTCTTAGCACCTTGCGACAAAGTCACTGCTCACTGGTAGTTTTTTTCTTTGTATCTTGTCACAAAGTCACTAGAACTTTACACTTAATGCAGACATAAACAGAAAATGCATCATCAATCTGGTATCTCTTCCTTTCAAGTGAAGATTTCAAATTTTTGTAGATATGGAGTGGAGAGTATGCTTGCAGTACGCTTAGAAGTCTTGGATGCCGGTACTTGAAATCAGAAGATTAAACAAATCTGGGTAAACTAGAATAAATATTCCATCACAAACATCTGGGTGATTGAGCATGATGGCCGGACAGAAACTTACAGTTTTTAGTTTTAGTAAGAGTTTTACGGCACTTGCAACACGATAGGATCATGTAAGTGCCAAAGATTAGAGGTGTTACAAGAGAGTAACAAACAGAAAAAAGAAGGTGGAGAGACAGAGACGATAGATGTTTAATAGGAAAGAAGGAGCAAACCACACCAGAGCACCAGCTCACAGAAACTTACAGAAACATTGGTTAAAACCCAAAGGTTCTGTAGACATCTTCGTGGTCAGGATCTATGCTTTTTTAGCGTTAACAATTCTTGCACAGGACTCGATGCGGTTGTCACATGTACACAAAAAGTTAACATTCTGTCGACGTCTTGGAGGTCAGGGCCTGTATATTCTCTTTCCTCTTAGCGTTAACATTTCTTGCACAGGACTCGATGCGGTTGTCACATATACACAAAAAATTAACATTCTGTTGACATCTTGGAGGTCAAGGCCTGTATATTCTCTTTCCTCTT